TGCCATCGGATCAGCGCAGTGCTCCAGCCGCAGCGCACCGGCCGCGGCGGCCATTGGAGGGTGAACCAACGGCACAGGAAGACCTTTCTCTCTGTCTCTCTCTCTCACTGTCCACTCTGCCTGTCAAAAAAAAAAAATTAATCTTTCTTTCTGCCTGTCAAATAAATAAACATAATTTTTAAAATTCTAAAGAAAATGTGAAACAGAATTCAATTTCTGTGATCAGTTCTAATTTAATCAGTTCTTTTTCACTCATAAAATAATTTTCATTAATAGGACAGGAATTTCAGATCATATTTTTGTTAAACAATGTAAAATGAAGTTAAACATTTGATTTTGAAGTTAAACATATTGTTCCAGAATTAGATAAAAGTCAAGATTCAAATCTGTTTGTACCTCACTATTGAGTAAGTACTTAGACAAATTATTAAGCCTTAATGTTGCCTTTGTAAAGTAGGTCTAATAACATTTATCTCATAGGAATTATAAAGAAAGATTATATAATTCATTGATTTTTTTCAATAAATATTTATTTACCAGAATTCTTTGCAAAGAACAATATAAGCACCACCATTTAGCAGACAAAATAGATATTCATCCCAAGACATATGAATTTATGTTTTTAGAATAGAGAGCCAGTAAATATATATAAAATATTATAAGAATATCATATATTAAGTGCATATAATATATTTAGTCTAGTGAATACCATGTGCCAAATGGAACATATAAGTTACTGGAAAATAATTATTAGTTTATTTTGTTATACATAAGGGTCTCTCCATGCTACAGAAGGAAATGTAATAATGACAATAAAAAAGTGAGAAAAATATCAATAATATTCAGTGCCTGTCTTGCAAATTACTTAAAATAGAGTCATTCTGAGGTGAATGCAAATTCTTAACATTATTAAATTGAGTTCATTTCTTTTTCTTATGAAGACAAAATAAATACTCTTAAATTGTGTGGATCACTATTACAGTCTTTCAGTGAGTTGCTCCACTTGACAATACAGTGTTGATGACATTGAAAAATCATTAATGAAGGTCCCCTCCCCAGGCCATCAGCAATTTACATTTCATAAATGAAATCAACAGCTTGGAAAATTCAGTGCTGCATATGAAATGGCAGGCTGTCTGTCTCAACAACTCAGCATGGGGATGTCTTCTTCCACGTTTCTGCTATGCTTGCATGTGGAGCCAAAAATGAAGGGCTCTAGGGGCACATGGTCATGGCAACTCAATATTTTGTGGTTATACAATTCTACCCAGTAGTAGGGAAATGAATAGCAAAGATAAACTCAAAAATAAGTTTCCTTTTCTCTTTCTTACTTTCATGTCCTGATTGCCAACATTGACCATAATTTACTAAAGAGTCTCTGTACAATAGTTTTAAATAAACTTTTAAAATGTGTATTTTGGGGCCAGTGTTGTGGCATAGGAGGTAAAGCTGCCGCCTGCAGTGCCAACAATCCAGTCCCGAGTCCCGGGTGCTCCACTTCCAATATAGCTCTCTGCTATTGCCTGGGAAAGCAGTAGAAGATGGCCCAAGTCCTTGGGCCTCTGCATCCACATGGGAGACCCAGAAGAAGCACCTGGCTCTTGGCTTTGGATCAGCCCAGCTCCAGTCGTTGTGGCCCTCTGGGGAGTTAATCAGGGGAGGAAGAACACTCTCTCTCTCTCTCTCTCTCTCTCTCCCTCCCTCTGCCGCTTTGTAAACTCTGCCTTTCAAATAAATAAATAAATCTTTAAAAATTAAAAAGAATATATATGTAAATATTTATATGACCAGAAACAAGTCACAGTTAAGAGCATAATTCTCATATGATCAAAAAATTGGAGACTCAACCATCAATAGAACTACCATCAACAGATTTTGTGCTGATGGACCAAGCAGCATAATAAAACTGCTGCTCACCTTGGGCAATATCTTAAGAATTTCTCACATATGAATTACTGTTTTGCGTATTCAAGGATGAAACTGCAGTTCTGAAAGGAAATAAGAGAAAATTATCCTGAAAATCCATGCATTGAGTTTAAAAGAGTAATTAAAAAATAACTACTTTTGTTACATTTGTCACTTAATTTTCCCTATCAATGTAACAATTATTTTTCTATTTCATTAGTGACAAATATTGACATAGCTTGATTTTAAATCCAGATTTTGTTACCTCAAACCCTTCCAAAAGTATTTATAACTTGTATGAGGTCATCTTGGTATTACTGTTTATGTAACATAAAAAAAAGCAGCAGTTCTACCATAGTGACAGCCTCTTGCAAGTTGGATAATGGGCTTATAAGTTGGATAGAAGTGCTTATAAATTTTTTTGTGTTTCATAAAGTAGGTTCTGAAAGTTTTGTTCACAAAGTGGATAAAAATTTCTCCTCAACTTTCTGTTTTCCAGTAATCTTTTGATGAACAATAAGTCTGTGATTATTCCATTTCAAGGTTTTAAATATGTGATTTATAGAGTGAGTGCCAGGTTCTTTTAGATAGATACTCTGACTTGATGGGCAAAGGGCTGGTGAACCCTTTTCTAGGAAGAAAAGATTTGAGGTTCTGGGAATTTATTTAAGAAATTTAAATATTTAAATATTTAAATCAGTGACACTTCAAAAACTGAGAACTCATAACAAGACCAGGATCATTCTATATGTCCTTGGGATATTCCCTGTGGTGAAAGGGAACAGGCTGGAAAGATGAAGCCCTATTTCTGCAATTTGACGGTTGGATGAGTATCTGCAAATTACTTAACCTCTGTAAGCCTTTGAGTCTCTCACCTGCAAGATGGGAGACAAATACCACTTACTTTATACAATAATGGAATAATCCAACTTAACAATTTACCAGTAGTTAGACTATAATAATTAACCCACAAACATTAATGCTTTTTGTTACATTTTTTCTATTTTGCTCTCAAGTTTAAACTGTATTGTTGTCTACATAGTAAATTCAATAAAGGTGAAATCATTAGTAGAAAAATAGAGAGATGTTCCCTTTTCTTCAAAGCCTAATTTAATTCACCACCAAAAAAAGATAAGTGATTTATTTCAAAATAAGGAAATACAAAAATGACTTAACATTAGCCTAAACTGACTGAAATAAAGCATACAACATCAGGAAACACAATAATGGAAGGTGATATTTGCTATGATTGAGCATAGAAAGATTACCACCCAATTTTTTTTTTTTTTTTTTTTTTTTTGGCCAGAGTTAGTGCGAGAGAGAGACAGAAAGAGAGTTATAGACAGTGAGAGAGAGATAGAGAGAAAAGTCTTCCTTCTGTTGGTTCACTCCCCTAATGGCCCCTACAGCCGGTGCTGCACCCATCCGAAGCCAGGAGCTGGGTACTTCTTCCCAGTCTCCCATGTGGGTGGAGGGACCCAAGTACTTGGGCCATCTTCCGTTGGAAGAGGAGCAACCAGGACTAGTACGTGGCGCCCCAACTGGGTACTGGTATCGCAGGCAGAGGATTAGCCAAATGAGCCACGGTGCCGGCTACCACCCAATTTTTTAAAAAAGGTTTCTAAAGTAAATTATAAATGTAAAATCTATGTGAAATTGAATGCTCACTTCTAGATCTAGAAAGAAAAAATGAATCAATGTAATCTAGAACTAAAGACACAAAAGAGGGAGCATTTGGTCCTTCTTTAATTATTATTTTCTTTACTCATTAACTTATTCAGCAAGATTTATTGAACATATACCACATATATTAGATATTTCACCAAATACTGGCACTCTGTAATCAATAAATAGTTTTTGTCTTAAGGAAGCTCAAACTCTAAAGGCAGGGTTATACTTCATGTACTTCATATAGTATATACTTCTATACTATTTGGGATCATAGAAAACACTAAAAATAGGATATGACCTAATCAATTAAGTGAAATGTGTTAACTAAAATGATAATATATGTACAAAAAGTGTTAAAGTGCAATAATAGCACTAACAGCACTTTTTACAGATTGTGTGTTCAAGTATTATAGGAAGTAGGGTGCGAATGACTATGTAATTCTCTGTTAAATAAAGTACCTCACTTAAACAAATGAGGCCTATTTTTTCTCATTACAATTTCAAAAAGTTGAAATCTTTTAAGCTAAAATTTGAATAAAGATAGCTAACCATGTCCCAGATATATGGTCTATTCTTGATCAGCAGCCAACTATGAAATCAGTCTTTTTTCTGTTTGAAACAGGAGTGACCATATATAGAACTCTTCCATGAAACAAAACATAATTCTATGCCTGTAAGGGGAGAACTATAAAGTCTTCGAAAGATTGGTTAAGTAAATGGATGAACTGACAACATGAGAACATTGTCAACTCTCATATTGGTCAGGATGGAACCATAAGTAATAATTGGATAGTGTTTTAAAAACTGTGTATTTATTCTTTACTAATATGTTCAAATGCAGGATATCTGTACAAAAGGAATTATGTTATAACAACATGAAATATTTAATTTTAGTGATTATGTATATTATTATACTGAACATAAGCTGATTTAATTTATTTTATAGTATTAATAGTCATAGAGGTAATGATAAAACATTGTATCATTTTAAAACTATTAAGTTAACCACCAGATGGAGCTCTATGAACTGGACATATGATACTCAAAAATAGAAAACTGGTTGAATTAGAAAAAATATTATACTTATTTTTGGAGAAGCTTTTAATTTCCTTATCTGCAATATTAGAGAACTCAGGACTCTCAAGATATTAGCTCTTATTAAAACAAAGATGTCAGATTTCTTTATTAGTATGAAATATTTTAGCAAAGTGGATTTTAAATTGGAGTACTTTTATTTGTTAATTTATAATCAATAAAGATATGTGTTCCATTAATATTTTGATAAAATCGTGTAACTGTAACTGAAATTGAAAACAGACTAGGAGCATATATGAAACTTGCCATTTAGTATTTATTATTAATTCAAACACTTATTTTTCCATGTTTGTGTGTGTGTGTCTGTGTGTCTGTATGTTTTCCCCCAGGATCTGAAACTAAAAAAGATGAAAAGACATCCAAACCAGGTAAGGATACTCTAAGATTGTTCTTTAAATAAATGTCTTAGTTGATCTGAACAAGGCAGATTTTATCCTAAATGCTAATTCAAGCCTTGAGAAATGTAAAACAGTAAAAGAAAAAAAAAAAAAAAAAACCTTGATATACTCTCCCCAAATACTTTTTTGGAAAACACTTTTCATTTCAGAACAGTTTAAAATTTACAAAATAAAAGCTGTATAGTGGTACAGAGTTTCCATATAAATTAAACCCAGATTCACCTATTATTAGGATCTCATGTAAGTATAATATCGTCACAATCAGTGAACTACAACCATCTTCCCTCACTTTGTAAAACCCAAATCCCCTCTATTTCTCTCTCTTCTCTAAGCCCCTGAAATCGGAGGTGACCCCCTAAAATTTATACAAATATGTGGCCCTTTAGAGTTCCCCAGGAGTGCTATCTGGGGTGCCACATATGCTATCGGAATTCGGGGTGCCTTATGATTTCATCATATGCTTGCTAATAAATCTCCAATATTAATAAGCCCAAAAGGGTTCTTACCTAATATTTAGAGAAGAATTCTAAATACTGGCACAGATAAAAGAAGCAGCATGGAACATTTTAGGTTTTTATTTAGTGAGAAAGATGCATAGGAGGGTGAGAGCTTTATTTAAGAGAGAGAGGTAAATCTGGGTTCATACAGAGCACCAGGAACCAGCCACATGGAGGAGCATCTAAGCCAGGAAGCCTAGGGCTGGTGGCCTGAAGGCCATGGGCCCTGGAGGCGCAGGGCTACAGCAAGCCCCTTCTGGAACGAGGCCAGGGAAAAAGAGAAGGGCCAAGGGCAGGGACACACGGTGTCCAAGGCTTTTAACCCACTTCCAAAGGGGAGTGGTTAATTAACCTGATTGGCTGGTGGGAACCCAGGTGTGGCCAGGTGGGGCATGAGGTGACACAGGGGCATGGTGAAGGTATCAGGTAAGGTGTGAGATCACACAGGGGCATAGCGAAGGCGTGGTCTTCTAGCTCACAAACTTAATGGATTTTAACCTGTATGCCTGCCTGCTCCACCTATAGTAATCAACATTCTGTGTTTAGATTCAGTTTCTTTTTCTTTGTTTGTTTTTTGGAGTTTTTTTCAGCTCCCACATATGAGGGAGAGCATACATGCTATATCTGTAAACACACACACACACACACACATACACACAGAGGCATATATCAGATATAGTGTTTATTTATATATATATAAATATGCATATATTTCTTTTTCCATTCATTTGATGAAGCATTACTTGGTTAATTCCTTATCTTGGCTTTTGTAAACAGTGTTGTAATAAACATGATGAGGCAGGTGTCTCATTAACACAATGATGCCATGTTTTTAGGATACATACTCAGTACTGGGATTACTAGCACATTTGGCAGTTCTATTTCTACTTTTTAAAGAAATCTCCACACTATTTTAATAGTGACTGTGCTAATTTACTTTCTTATCAATGGTGTATAAGAATTCCCTTTTATTTGGGGCAATAAAGCCAGTAAAGCCACTGTGCTGGCATCTCATATGGGTGCTGGTTCAGGTCCCGGCTGCTCCTCTTCAGATCCACATCCCTGCTAATGCATCTGGGAAAGCAGTTGAATACGGCCCAAGTGCTTGGGCCTCTGCACCCATGTGGGAGACCTAAATGAAGCTATTGACTCCTTGCTTTGTTCTGGCCCAACCCTGGCCATTTCAGCCATCTGGGGAGTAAACAGCAGATGGAAGACTTCTCTACTTGTTCGCCCTCTGCCTCTGCCTCTCTCTTTGTGTAATTCTGACTTTCAGATGAATAAATACATCTTTAAAAAAATTTCCTTTTTCCATATACTCACCAGCATTTCTTACCCTCTTTTTTGGATAATATTCATTCTAACAGGGCTGAATTAACACTTAATTTTGGTTTTGATTTGCATTCCCTTGCTGTTTAGTGATACTGAGCATTTGTTTTCCAGATTTATTTATATTTTTGAAAGTCATAATGACAGAGAGAGGGACAGACACAGAGATTGAGATGTCTTTCATCTGCTGTTTGATTCCCTAAATGGCTGCAACAACCAGGGCTCTGGCAGACCAAAGTTACGAGCCAGGAACTTCATCTGGGTCTCCCACGTGGGTAGCAGAGGCCCAAACATGTGGGCCATCTTCTGTTGCTTTTCTCAGGCTTTTAGCAAGGATCTGCATCAGAAGTGGAGCAGCTGGAACATGAACTGGCACACATATGTGATGCAGGCATCATAGGCGGTGGCTTTACTACCTATGCCATAATGTTGGCTGTAAGCATTTTAAAAAATATGCTTGTTAAGCATTGCATTTCTTCTTTTGGGAACTGTCTTTTCAGGTCCTTTGCCCATGTCTTAAATGAAATGGTTTGTTTTTGCTTTTGCTGAGTTCTTAGTTTATTCAAAAAATTAAGCCTTTTTCAGATAAGTAACTTGTAAATATTTTTCTCCCACTGCTTCAGAAGTTTCTTCCCTTTATTGTTTTATAGAAGTTTCTGAGTTTGATGTAATCCCTTTTGTCTAGTTCTGTGTTCATTACCAGTGCTTTTGGGATCTTAGCCAGAAATCATTGCCCAAATTAATGTCTTGAAGCAATTCACCTAAATTTTCTTCCGGTGACTTCATAATGTCTGTTCTTACATTTAGGTCTTTGATACATCTTGAGTTGGTTTTTGTTCATGGTGAGAAGTAGGGATGCAAATTCATTCTTCTACTTATGTATGTCAAGTTTTACCACCATCATTTATTAAAAAGACTATCTTTTCTCCAATGTATATTGTGGGTACCTTTGTCAAAAATCAATCAGATGCATTTACATAGATGAAAAGTAATTGGCAATAAAATAGACACTAAAATTAAAATAGACTCCATGTTTTCTGGTAGTATATATTTTTAAAGATGTATTTATTCACTTGAAAGCCAGTTGCACAAAGAGAGAAGGATAGGCAGAGAAGGAGAGAGAGAGGGAGAGGTCTTCCATCCACTAGTTCTCTCCACAATTGGCCGCAAGGGCTGGAACTGCGCCAATCTGAAGTCAGGAGCCAGGAGCTTCTTCCTGATCTCCCTCACGGGTGCAGGGGCCCAATGATTTGGGCTACCATCTACTGCTTTCCCAGGCCATAGCAGAGAGTTGGATTGGAAGTGGAGCAGCTGGGACTCGAACCAGCGCCCATACGGGATGCCGGCACTGCAGGTGGTGGCTTTCCCTGCTAAGCCAAAGCAATGGAATGATGATCACATACTGCTCCTTATAAATCTATTGGGCAACTGAACAGGATTTACAAAATACTATGGGAGGAATTTGAAATTCAGAATCCCTAACCAGAACATGAAAAATTTATAAAACTTATTCTTATGACCAAGTAAGCCTTTAACCTACATTCAACCAATTTTGTTCTCAAAATCGGTAGTTTTATATGGTTTATCACAGTTGATTCAACCCATTTTTATGCTACTAGTTAAGTACAAAAATATTCTTTAGGGAGAAAATCCATTACTTTATTGCCTGTTAATTTTCAAAAGCTTCTAAAATAAGACATCTCTGCCTTTTAAAAGGGAAAGAGAGAGAGAAAGACAAAGATTGAGATCTTCCAGTTGCTGGTTCACTCCCTAAATGGCCACATAGTCAGGGCTGCACTAAGCCAAACCCAAGAGCCAGGAACTTAATCTGTGTCTCTCACTTGGGTGACTGAGGCCCAAATATGTGGGTCATTCTCCAATGCTTCCCCAGGCACATTAGCAGGAATGTGTTTTGGTATAAGAAAAGTTGAGATCTGAACCATCACCAAGATATTGATGCCAGCATCCCAAGAGGCAGTTTGTCTCACTCTGGAGCAATGCCAGCTCAATACACTAAAAATACACTTCTAAAAGTAGATTTCCAAGTGAAAAATCTAAGAAATTAGCTGGACACTCAAGGCAGGTGATAAAAGTTGGGAGGTAAAAAGGGCAGAAAAAAGGAAACTATAATCCCTGAGGAAAATTCTGGTTAATTACAATCTTGTTAACCCTAGTATTTTATATCTAAATAAGCAGACTTATATGTCTATATCTACCTATACAAAGGAATATAAATATACTTATGTTTCTCTGTACAGTGAAAATACATTATTCATATTATTGCTCTTAAAGTATTTGCATATATTCATTTACACAAATTTTAATCTGCACTTAAGTAGTCATGGTAATTCACATTTCTGTGTGTATGTTAAATGTTAACCAGAATTATTGTCATTTGTTTTTATTTATTTAAAAGGCAGAGAGAGAGAAAAGGAAGGAGGAGAGAGAGAGTGTGTGAGACAGAGAGAAATATATTCCATCTGCTGGTTCACTCCCCAAGTGGTCACAGCAGCCACGTCTGTGTTAGGCTGATGCCAGAAACCAGGAAATCTATTAGGATCTCCCACTTGGATGACAGGGCCCAAGTACTTTGGCCCTCTTCCACTGCTTTCCCTGGAGCATTAGCAAGAAGTTGGATCAGATATAGAGTAGCTAGGGCTCCAAATAGCATTAGATATGGGGTGCTGTTATTGAAAACAGTGGATTAAACCATTGTACTACAACACCAGCCCCCATCTTCTTATTTTTGATGATTAAACACGAAAGTTCTAAATGACTTTACAAATTATGAGACTGTTCTCTGGGAAATCGATAGGAAAATTAATAATTGTAAACTGTAGAATATATAATGGGGATAGATTACATGTTGAGTATTTACATCAAAAATTATCATTAAATATTAACTATACCGACACTATTCTTGTTTAAATGATCCCTTTGGTTCTTAGTCCTATCATTATGATCAATTGTGAACTGAAATTGATCACTGGGACTAGTGAGATGGCATTGGTACATGCCACCTTGATGGGATTGAATTGGAATCCCCTGGTATGTTTCTAACTCTACCTTTTGAGGTAAGTCATGTTGAGCATGTCCCGAATTGCACATCTCTTCCCTCTCTTATTCCCACTCTTATATTTAACA